GCTCCCTAAGAATAAAAAGTGGTATAATGACAGGAAAAAAAAAAAAAAGTAGCTAAAATTGGCAAAAAAAGTACCATAGCTACAATTAGCACATGGTACTTAAAATGAGCGGAACCAGAACAAAATGTGTAAGGTGGTGTAAAGATTTAGAAAACATTTTTTCTGGATTTTAAGGATGTTGAAAGCAGCTCCATTCATTTTTAGTGGAAAAAAAGTGAAATAGCTGAAAAAGTATAAATAGCTCAAACACCAAAAGTCATAGCAGACTTGGCATAAACGAGCTGAACGTTTTCATTTATGAATTGTTGAAATAGCACAAAAAATGTGGAAAAAGTTAGATGCCGACAAAAACATACGGAAGAAAACATGATCTCAATCAATAGTGTGAATGCTATGAAGCATTACACATACAACACATACAATGTGTTGGTAAAATGTACCTTATCCTGTCTATTACAGGCTGTTGAAGAGTTACATCCAGTCCAGTCTACAGAACAGCCAAGGAGGACCTGAGATCAGTTCCTGGGAACAAGGTAGACTGCACCACTCACATTCAAGAAGTTAAAGAGATAACTGAATATTCACTGYACCGTGTAAACCCTCTGCTTCGTTTCAGAGGTGTTCTTTCTGTTTCGTCTCTATGACTTTGATCGCAGTGGGTTTTTAGATGGATTGGAAATGATGAAGCTGCTCTCTGACTACAACTCCCATCATACACCTGGAGCAGCAGCCWATGAGTTGGTGAGTGAAGATGTGTCATGGTTTGAACCATTATGGTATTTGTGTAGATGTTTATCTCTTTCATTCTTTGCAGTCTGTTTGTTCGACCTAATGTGTGTTTTCATGAGCYCAGGTGGTGTCAATGGTGGACTTTTTACTACAGACTCATGATCTAAACCAGGATGGACTTCTGGACCCCTCTGAGTTGCTTTCTCCTTCAGTCATTCACACACAGGTACCGGACACGCAGATTTATCCGTACCAAGCTCTAGTTCCATTGAAACRCAGCTGGGTTGTTTGAGCAGTAACTTTATTTAACACTGTGTGTCATCAGGCCTCGATCAACAGAACACCTCTACAGGAGCAGGAGGAGCCGGCGGARAAAGTGCCATCAAGCAGCAGGACTGAGGAGGAGAACGTAGTGGAGCACAGAGAGGAGGCAGCACATGAGGAGCTTCGGCCTCAAGTGGACGATCAAACTCAGCAGGAAGTGTTTAGAGAAAAGGAGGAGCCAATAAAGCAAACAGATCAACACAATGAACAAGAAAACCACAAAGCTCCTGCAGGAGAATGGCAGCAGGTCCATGACATTCCTSTCCATCAGGGACAGCCAGAGATCTAAAGAAACAGGAACTGCACCACTCAAACGTACAGGAGATTGAATACTTTTATCCCTGCAGATGGTTTTTCTCTGAACGCCGTGGACTAAAGAACATTTAATGATTGGTTAAAGGGTTATTTCCTCAACTGTTGCAGTGTTRTAGGTTTTATTACTGCAGCTTTTAAAGGGTTGAAGGGTAAAAAATGCATTGCTTTCTGTAATGATAAAAGCCATGAATAATAAGAAACTAGCTAATTAATGCTTTTCTAAAAAAACTATATTCACAATTTTATGTCATCTCATGCTTTTTAAGTAATTACGTTTTACTTCACTCAACGAAACTTTTAACATGTCCAAGGAGTGCAGCGTTTCTAATTATGTGATTTAAAGTCAGCTCAGTAAAACCAGTGTGCTTAGATACACCATTAATGTGCCAAAAAATAATTAAAGTCTTCCTTGAGAATATAATACTATCACAATGACTGAGTTTTTATTGGTTAAATTAGTATTTATTGAGTTAAAGATTTTTACCACCAATTTTGGGACAACATGTCACAATTACTGTGTATTTTTGGTTAGAAACACCCAGTGAAATGACATTAAACACAATTATATTGAAATCTTTTAACAAGAAATGTGTTTCCTCTGTAAGAGGAATATTTGTGAGAATATTGTTTGATTTTTTTGAAAACTGTTGGATTTATGCAGCTTAAAAATAAAGCAAAGGTTTCATTATATTTTTGTCTCTAGTCTAATTTGTCTCACATGGTTTTTGAATTTTGTAATAATATAGATTGTTTGAAATTAAGTTTACAAGAACACAAAGAAAAACAAAACAAGTTAATGATAGAAATAAATGGAGTAGAGTGGGTGAKGAGGTGTGGTCAGTTTTTTACTCCAGAAAACTAACCCTTAGAGCAGCATTAAGTAAAGGAAACCTCCAGGAAACCCAAATCAAACTAAAGGATTTATCAAAAAGGAGAAGAGGCTTCATTYGTGTTTTAGCTATTTGCAGATGACACTACATTTTTTTGTTTTCAKGTAAAATATTAGAGCCAATGTTGGAAATGATGCAAATAGAACTTGTAAAAATACAAAATTGGTTCAAGCTTAATAAATCATCACTAAATTTAGACAAAACAAACTATATGATATTTAGTATATAAAAAGAACGGTCAACGTTTCATTTAAAGTTGATGGTGTTGACATGGAGTCAGTGAGGTCAAGTTTTTGGGTGTAATTATTGACAAAAACTTAACTTGGAAGTCTCATATCAATTATTTTAGAACAAAAGTAGCTAAATCAATTGCAGTACTATAGAGGGTAAAGGATTTATTTAATGATAAAGCACTGTTTATACTAAACAACGCAATAATTGTTCCACATTTGATTTATTGTGTTGAAACCTGGGGGAAGGCATGTAAAACATTTACAAATTCTATTTTTATTTGGGAGAAAAAAGCCATAAGAATTATAGCCAGAAAACATTACAATCACCCACTGAATATATTGTTTCATCAATTGAAGTTACAGGATTTTGCTGATTATGTATAGGGCTCATGAAAACGTATTAGCTTTGAATATTCAGTCCAGTTTCATTCAGAGGGAAAGTTGTTATAATCTTTAAGGATTTGAAATGTTTGTTAAACTTAAAATTTGGACTAACTTGAGAGAGAGATGTACTTCAGTTCAAGGGATTAAGTTATGAAACAACTTGACTAATGATTATAAAAAATGCTTGTTCTATTAAGTTATTTGGAAGAATGGTTAAATTTGATTTGCTGATAAAATATGAAAACATTTAATAGGTGTTCATATAAGCTGCGGTTTGAATAATTGTAATTTAATTTTTTTCTCTTAATTTTTCTGATTGGGTAGGAAATTACTATTTATATTTACATGTATGTAGG